TCAAAATGAATTAGAATTGGTGTTATGTTAAATCTCCGACCTTTAATTTGTATCATGTTGCTGTCTTTTATCTAGTAGTTTTGAGGGTTAGTTGATCAGTATATCCAATTAGGTCAAGATAAGTGGGTATTTGGTTTTATGTAACGTCTCAAGCCATGACCTCAAGTAAGAGTTTGAATTGTTTACATAAAAATTATTTCATACTCATTACAGTACTTTCACCTTAAAGGTGCATGCTTTTGCTAAGATGCTTTGGCTGTGCCGTGGTTGAGGACACCTGGCACTATTTCCTGCACAGACTATTACACCACAAAAGAGTGTATAAATATATGCATAAAATTCATCATGAGTTTCAGGTATGTTAGAATTATACCTAAGAGATTTTTTTATTAGACACAAAATGTCATTATTTTTATTGTGTGAGCATTTTTAAAAATTGCTGGCGATGTTATTTCCTTTTCCTTTGGTGTGATTACTAAGAATGTAGCACATACACACACACAACCAGTTCTACAGATTTTCTTTAGTATCTAAATTTCATGGTAAATGGAGAACTGAAGCACAAAAAATTACATGAAATACTTTTTTTTTCTCATTTTTGTGGCCCAGAGCAATATCCTGACACATACAGTTGGAGACCTGACAACTTTATAGCTGACAATTTGATAGCAGCTGTAGTGACGCCAGAGTCATTCAAATGGAACCTGAAACAGCCACCCTTCAGTGTTTAAAGTTCTAAAACAGTTAACAGCTTATGTTTGACACATTTTCACCACATTACCATCTCCCACAAAAGTAATGATTTTTAAATTTTTATTAAATTTTATTTTTATTTATTAGTTTATTGATTTGGCCTTGACAAGTTAGCTGTGTCAGAATTTTCTGCATTGATCCTGATTACATAGTGTAAGAATACTAAATCAAGCATGCCTTTCTTGTTAGAGCAAATTCAAAGGCAGAGATCAAAATGAGAGTTCAAGTCAGTTGTTAAATGCCTTTATTTAAACCAT